TTTGTCGTCCACCATGTGCTTCAGACGTTGGTAGTATGTGGGGCCCAAGAAAATTTGGGCATTGATCTTCCTTCCCGTGTGCCCGTTAAACATCACCTGAGAAAGCCAGCAGTTAAATAAGAAAAGCCTGAATTATCACCCAAAAACTCACCTCGTTGCCTCTGAGTTGGTATCCATACTCTTGCAAAAGAGTGGAGATTTTCTGCACGTTTACCGCGTCATTAAACGGGGTGGCGTCACCAATTTCCCCCTTGTTTGAGGAGACCTTCCCTTGAAGACACTCGATCAAATGGCCAATTGTCATACGCGACGGGATGGCATGGGGGTTGATGATGATGTCCGGCGTGATTCCTTCGCATGTGAAAGGCATGTCCTAGACAACTCTCAATTAACCACATATTTCCTAATTACTGGAGTATTCACGTACCTCCTGCCGATACTGAATGCCGCAGGTTCCTTTCTGTCCGTGCCGGGAGGCAAATTTGTCCCCGATTTGCGGGATTCTAACCGAGCGCACCCTGATTTTGCAGAACTTGTATCCCTCAGAATTTAACGTTAACATCACTTGGTCCACGACTCCCGTCTCACTGTTTCGTAGGAAGGTGGAAGCATCCCGCTTTGTCCATCTTTTAGTCACACCTTCCAGCTAGACAAACAAAAACTCAATCAAATATACAGCAACTAATCGCAAATTCGCCCTATTACTTCGTCGTCATTTTCAGGCAAAGTCATAGTTTTTCCTATAACAACATCATCTCCAGACACTCGAATTCCTGGCGATATGATGCCGTCATCATCCAATTTGTCGTAAAGAGCGTTTCGCATTCCTTGGCACGTTTGCCTAGTGGGTTTCTCGAATTGCTCTTCCTGATCGCCAATGCGCTTGGATTCGGCGTCTTTATACGAACGGTAAAACACTGATCTGCAGATTAAAGGTAGTTAAGAAAAACGCACAGAAAACGCGGTAAAACTTACCTAAAGAACCCGCGCTCCACAGCAGAAGCATTTAAAATAACGGAATCCTCCTGGTTATACCCTGTGTAGCAGGCAATGGCCACTATGCTGTTGATTCCAGCTGGCAACTCTCTAAATCGGAGGTATTCCATGGATCTAGTGGTAACCAGGGGCTTGTGAGGGTAATAAAGAACGTGAGCCAATGTGTCCATCCGCACGTGGAAGTTTGTGATATAAACGCCTGAAATTGCAAAATCCAGTTAAAACCTTTCCCCTACTTAGACTACTATAGTAACGCGTACCCATAGCCTGTTTGCCCATAGCACTTTGGTAGGTGTTCCTCGGACTTTGGTTGTGATCCGGGAAGGGAATAATGGACGCGCACACCCCTAAAATCATAGCGGTATGGATCTCACAATGCGTGTATGTGCTGCAGTAGGCGTAGTCCTTTTCCTGCCGCAAATCGTCTGGGGTGATGGCAATCATAACCGTTTCTTCCTCCAGAGTGTCTATGTATTCCACTACACCTGCAAAAAGCAATCGCCAATCAGCAACAACAAACAACCCATTAAACAAACTATTACCTGAGGCGACTAACATCTGCCAACCATAGTTATTGTACTCCCGCTCCTTCAAATTGTCTATGTGCTTCTTCTTAAGCAGCAGCTGACTATTTTCGACAATCAGCAGTGGTCTACAAATACGACCGGCGTCTGTATAAATTCGAATTTCCCTATCCCGAATATCTCGGATCATCGACACTTCGGAGACAATAATGTCCATTTGGCGCCTGAGTTTCCTCAACGTCGCCATAAGTTGTTCGGGATCGCGATGAATACCCACCTGTTGATAAACGTCCATTCATAGACCAAACGAATCGCAGATCTAATGGTTGCTTTACCCAACATCCGTTGACGAATATCTTCGTGGCATTTGCTATAGCCGACGGCGCAATTTCTTCCAAGTTCTCCATGGACCATTCTTCCAAAAACTCCAGAATGGGGGACGGTTGAGATCCGACAGATATGTAGGCCATGAGAGCCAGATTTTTTACAAGACCTGGAAATAATGATTTCGTGAACATTTGAAACCCGTAAGTGCAATTAAAAGCTCCTCTAATTTATGAGAGCCTCCATGTCTAACAGTAAAGCATAACTCCCTCACATACCTACAGCGGCGCCCTCAGGGGTTTCAGCTGGGCAAATCATGCCCCAAAGAGTGTTGTGGAGCTGACGCGGTTTAGCTAGCTTGCCATCCCTACCAATGGGCGAGTTTACTCGCCTTAAGTGAGACAGTGTTGAGGCAAACGTCAGGCGATTCAATACCTGCGCAGCCAAAAAATACAGATGGAATAGTACTTAAACTGGCAACAATTTGGGCTCACCTGAGATACGCCTGCCCGAGCCTGATGCGCCTTCTTCTGGTCGCCCCAGTTTCCAGTGGCCAGTGAATACCTCAACCCATCGGTGATCAATTTGGTTTTAATGGCCAGATCCAAATTGAAGTCCTTTCCTCTATCAATGAACTTCTGTGCATACATTCGGACTTCCTTCATTAAATTCTTGAACAGTCTAAAATACCGCCGGCTAGAATCACGTAAATTCTCCAATTGCAATAACGCACCCTCTGAACAGGAAGGCCAGCAGTGGACCTGCCAAATCCAGTCGTTTATTTCCATAGTGATCCCGGTCATCTAATTCTCGCCTTCCAAGTGCTGCTAACAGAAGTCGATGCACCATATACCTAGACAAAGCATTTAATCTTAACTGCTTGATTGGTAAGAGAACGGGGAACTTACCCCAAGAAATATGCCTTTTTAGTTTCGCAAAAATCAGAAACACCCACATGAGGTAACATTTCCTTTTGCAGAATTTCCCTTGCATACTTAATACGCCGTTCCTTTGTTACTCCCGGTCTGGCGCCTCTGGCTCCAATAAAATTCAGCGCAACATTTTGCTCTTGGATTACGAAGGCCTCGTCCAGAGAGGGTTTGACCATTTCCATCATTTCCGGGTCCTCAAAGTCGTAGATGATGTGCTCCAAAATATCGCGGTCGGCCACAAAGCCCAAAGCGCGGAAAACTATCATTATAGGGATTTCCTGCTTGATGTATGGCAGGATGGCGATGATTCTTTGGCCGATAGCTGCTTTTTTAATCGCCTGCCCGCCTCTGGCCATCATATTGACCCAGAGCGTCGATGTAGGGCGGGAACTGTGCTCTAAGCAAGATCTTATTTCAGACTTGTAGGCATACTTTCCATCTTTCATGGAAAATACATATACCGTGTTCGTGGCCATTTTCTCTTGAGCAATTAACACTTTCTCAGAGCCGTTAATAATGAAATAACCCCCTGGATCCAACGGGCACTCATTCAACTCAGTCAAATCTCGATCAGTGAGTCCGCTAAGTAAGCAATATGTTGAGCGCAACATAATTGGGATTTTTCCGATAAAGGTTTTTTGATGCTGGGTCTCGACCGGGTCTTCGCCCTCCTTGATGATAGTCTTAGTGATATCGACATACAGCGGAGCAGAATAAGTCAGGTTTCTCAGCCGAGCTTCATTAGGCATCATCGGCGACGGGGCACCATCTTTCTCCCAATGCGTGGGTTTGGACAAATAAATCTGTTCGAATTTCAGTAAAAATCTGGGCGGCACTTCGATTTCTCCAGTTGTGTGCTGAGCCTCGGCCTGCAGCTCGATGGCGGGCGAATCTTCAACAATCCTCTGCACAGACATTTGGATGAATTCATCAAAACTGTCCAACTGCTGCCGCACCAGGCCCTTTTCATCGAAGTATGCGTTGATGACAATCCAGCACGCTTCTTGCCAGAGTTCGGAGCTGATTTCTTCAGTCTCCTCATCGTCAAATTGATCTGGAAACACAATTTTTTTGGTTAAATGAAACGGACAAAAACATATAGGAAGGACAATGGTGGAGTCTGTTCTCTCCCACGGAAGGAAGGTATTCCGTAGGTAGAAATGGACAAGTATCTGCGAGGAAGAAATATCACATATATAATATAAATTGCCAAGAATCAGAAATGAGGACTAAGACAGGCAGCAGATGCAGATGAAACAGTTCTAGAAAGGATAGGATTAAGATGGTTTGAACTGGAATGGATGGAATGAGGGCATGAAAGAAGCAATAAAAGCATGTGGTTTAGTTTGCCCGAACCGGGTTAAAATATTAGTTATCTTGAAATGTTTGGTTTTTGTAGGAAACCGGCCAATATTTCTCAAGTATGATTTCAATTCATACATGCGTTATTTAGTGCTCTATTCAGTGGTACAGATGACCCGCTAGCTCAATTTGTTGGAGAGAAATGGGCAAAAAGCATGAAGTTTTGACCTAACATTGCACGTTTTTGTGTAATTTGCAAACTTTGTTTTTTGTGGTAAACCTACCACTATGTCCTAACTGAAGCGGAATATACGTGTTTCATAAGATAGAAGCGTTATTTCGAATAAGTTGGCTTCTAATGTGACCAGAAGCGTTGAATAAAACTACAGGTGTTTATCAATAATAACGTAATTTTTATGAAGAACGTTAGCAAAGTCCTAGCAGAGGAAATTGTGAAAGCCTTACCATAATCCTGTTCGTACATGGACATACTGATTTAAATTTTGCAATATTCCACTGTACTCTGGCTTATATTTATTTACTAAACTTGCTGAGATCGACTGATTGAACTAAACAATCAGTCAAGTGAGCTTCGTATGTCAAATGTCAAAGCAACGCATGTGACCAACAAACTGGCTAGGGACTTAAACTGCCTTAACTGACAAGGAGAGATATATGGTGGCGGTCTGGATATATGAAAGCAATAGGCAGAGGCTGCTAGAAAAAAATGGAAATGATTGAAAAATAGTGCGAAAATTGCGCTGATTTGATTGGAAAGATTAGTAAAGTTATAGCACGTTTAATGAGGGGAGGAAAAATTATTTACCCTTAGATGATTAATGGCGTGTGGCTAGACTGAGTGAGCACATCGAACAAGTGCCAGTGACAAATTTGACATTATCTAGTAGCAAAAAGTGTCGTTTAGTTCTCGTGTCGCTGGCGCCACCGATTCTAACTGTAATGGTGGATTTACAAGGTTGGCTTGTGTGTTTTTTTCAGTTCAAGGAAACTAAGGTTGAGTTCGTTAGCAATTGAGGAAAATTGTGAAAGGAAATTCGAAATAATCCGCCGATGAAGTATCGTCAGAGGCAGTCCAACGGAATATCAGGACAGGGACATCCGAAACGTTCGCGAATTTCGAAAAGCCCGCCCGCGAATCGTGTTATGGCCGGTAAGTTGTGTTGCAACACCACCGTTTTTCGCCAACTGTGACCTCGATAAGGGGAAATGTGAAAAAAGGTCGTGCAAAATCCAAAAATTGTACATGATGGAAGGTAATTTGTCTGTTTGTGAAGAGTAATCGTCCTTTCATGCTGCGTTACCATCCAAATGCGCACATTTTCAACCTCATTGGCCTTTAGTTTTTCCTAGTTTTTTTGCCGGATCCAGTTTGCCGTTTAGTGGTTATATTGTTTCTAGCAGTTTGATGAATTCTATTCGAAAACCCATAACAAACATTATGCAACGGGTTTCTCATGGTTTGTTCTTTGGTGAACAGTTTTTGTAGTTGCATGGCATTTCGGCGTCATGCGTTGTTAGGGCACAAACATTTTATGCATGTCGATTGCCTGCTCTTTCCACGGCTCTGAATTTTTTCACCCCAACTATTCCCTACCATCTAACTTGATCCCGTCTCCCATGCATGAATATTGTTTGTAAGCATTTTGCTTACCAACTCCCAACTTACAGTGCATTTACACTTTCCTTATACATTTTCTAGATAACTTTTCAGCCTTCTTCTAATCAGTTCTAACCAAAATGTAACTGCAAATTCCACGTGGAAGTCAGTTACCCAACGTGAAAAACCCTCCTTTCTAATATACAGGGTGTTAAGCTTGAAACCGTCCAAAATTGATAAAGATTAAAGTAAATTAGCTGACGTTGTCAATGTCCAATGTCAATCCTGATCCTTATAAGGGCCGCAATGCCACTCTCTTATACACGAGCATAAAATGAGATGCACATTGTCCAGACGGTGACAGCACTAAAATCGCAAATGGAGTTTTGACGTTTATTGAAGTGGTTTGGCACTCTTTTTTTCAAGAAAAAATCGCGTGGTGTTGCTACAATTGTGTGAATTGGAGAGTAAATGGAAATACGGAAAAATAATTTGCTGCGACGCTCAAATCACGTCTGAAACAACGAAAGCTAAACGCATATTTTCTACTAAGGCTCAGAAACCCCAAAAAAGCGTTTCTCGGCACCAACACACAATATGAAGTACCGTTTGACCCAAAAACAATTGGATTTTAGTGAATACCCGTGATTAGTTCCAATAAATCCTTGAGAATGGACGCATGCAGTAGTTTCCAGGTTTATAGAAATGATTCAATGTAAAATTTCCTCTCATTTAAGCAAATGTGCGATTTTAAACAATTTTGAGTGTACCACCTATGAAACCCATAATCAACATTACATTTGCAAGTGAATTTCTGTGCCTGAAGAATCAGTGTTTTGCGAATTCTCATTTTAGTTCATTTTGCAATGTACTTTTGCAGGAGGCAATGGAGAAACCCAGTGGTGCTTCTCGCAAGTTAAGGGAACTCTGGACGATGACGTGACTGAAGCTGATATTATATCGTGTGTAGAATTTAATCATGATGGTGAATTGTTGGCGACCGGCGATAAAGGGGGACGGGTTGTAATTTTCCAAAGAGACCCCATAAGTAAGGCGGCTTTGCCAAGACGCGGCGAGTACAATGTCTACTCCACCTTTCAGGTGTGATTTGATTAATCCGCCCGCAAAGCTCGATTGCTATTTATTGTTTTATTAGAGCCACGAGCCCGAATTTGACTACCTCAAGAGTTTGGAAATTGAGGAAAAAATCAACAAAATTCGATGGTTGAAGCGAAGAAACCCTGCACATTTCCTGCTTTCAACCAATGATAAAACAATAAAGTTATGGAAGGTCTCTGAACGAGACAAAAAGGTTGAAGGCTACAATACGCGATCAGATAATGGTAAAAAAATCGGCTTTGACCAGGAATTGGTATCATTTTGTTGATTTTCTAGGTTCCCTAATTGATCCGGCATCAGTTAGCTCACTTCGCGTGCCTATAATAAAACCCATGGAACTAATGGTGGAGGCATCGCCCCGGAGGATTTTTGCCAATGCCCACACTTACCACATTAATTCCATTTCGGTCAATTCCGACCAGGAGACTTACCTTTCAGCAGACGACTTGCGCATCAATCTCTGGCACTTGGAGATTACTGATCAAAGTTTTAATATTGTCGATATCAAACCAGCCAATATGGAAGAACTGACTGAAGTTATTACAGCTGCCGAATTTCATCCGGTTGAGTGCAACTTGTTTGTCTATAGTAGTAGTAAAGGGACTATTAGGTAAGCGACGATTCAAGCGCTTTCGCTTATAATTCATTGCCCTTTCCTGTTGCAGATTATGTGATATGCGTGCTGCGGCGCTTTGTGATCGCCATGCCAAGTTGTTTGAGGAACCAGAAGATCCGACGAATCGCAGTTTCTTTTCTGAAATTATATCTAGTATAAGCGACGTTAAATTGTCGAATAATGGCAGGTACATGATTTCTAGGGACTATCTCTCAGTGAAAGTGTGGGATTTGCATATGGAGTCAAAACCTATTGAAACTTACCCGGTAAGTTAAAAATTTCCCATTCAAAGTGTTTCAGAAGCTTGATTTGACTGACATTCAATGTGGTTTCTGCAGGTTCATGAATACTTGCGAGCAAAACTCTGTTCGCTGTACGAGAACGATTGTATATTTGACAAATTCGAATGTTGCTGGAACGGCAACGACACGGCCGTCATGACTAGTTCCTACAACAATTTCTTCCGCATATTCGACAGGACAACAAAACGCGACGTGACTTTAGAAGCGTCCAGAGACATCGCAAAGCCGAAGACGCTGCTAATGCCGCGTAAGGTATGCTCGCAAGGTAAACGGAAAAAGAACGAGATTAGTGTTGATTGTCTGGACTTTAACAAAAAAATCCTTCACACCGCGTGGCATCCCCTAGAAAATATAATTGCTGTAGCCGCGACGAATAACTTGTTTTTGTTCCAGGACAAGTTTTAGTTTGGACAATTAATATTACAATTGTGTAGTGAATGTGGTCGATGGAAAACTCGTTCTGGGTCGTGGGTGAGAGAACCTGATTCTTATTTGTGTCGTAGAAAGACCGATATTGTGAGCTGGCTCCGATTGATAAAGTAATATGATTAACAACCAATTATTTACCCCGGTGTAGATGTAAAGTTGTATATTATTTTGTCAATACTAAATCAATAATTATAATTACTCTCGTCATATTAAGAATTTCAAGTGATTGCAAGCTCCCAATTTTAAGAGTTAGGAACATAAAAGCGGCCTTTAAACGTTCGGAAATTCGATGTTTTTCAGAGATTTGATGAAATGTTAGTATGGCTTTGTCGTTCCTGACTGTGGGCGCAACGTACCAGCAAAGCTCATTGCGTTCAGTATGGAAAGTCCACGATTTCCACATATTCGGCCCGAGGATTTGTTAAATTTTCTACTTTTTTCTATTAGCTCAAACAACTCGCAATCGAATGACAAAGTCGTACAGTTTTAAAAGATCAGCAGATTTTGATCATTTTGCTCATGCATACATACATATTTAGGCTAAGTTGCGTTATTGTTCGAGAATCGGTGGCAGTGTATCGGAATCCAGTGGAGATTCCAATGAATTTACGGCGATTGAGGTGAATGAAAAACGAGATATATATTTTTTCAAATCTCCAAATGAAGCGTTTGAAAATTGAATGCAGACGATATTCACTGGATTTCAATATGTAGCAACTTTAATTTGTGCCATACTCAAAAATAGTCTATACCTCTCATTCTCATTGTGCAAGAAATTGGCCTGAAAATTCAAGTTTAATGTAAAGCTTGCGGGTTTAAAAAACCAATTGATTAACTCTCGTTTCAGACGCAGGTTGTTTTGAGCCGGCAAATTCACTTTAGATATTTCATGTGACACGTCTGACTAAAACCACTTATATGAAAATTTCTCAGTGTTCTATAAGTTAATATCCGTGTCCGGAAAACATCGTTTCACCAAAATAAGGAGCAAATATTTTTTTATAACAATAAAATCGGAAATGCGCCTCCGGGACGACACTGCAATAGATTAATTATATCAATCCAGTCTATGGTCTTTTTAAACCATCGGCTTGTGTCGCCAAAACGAAGCAATTTTGTGGTTTTACCTTTATATTTAATCTAACGCATTTTAATCTCTCGACGTATTTCAGTTTTTAATTAAGCATTCATAACAAGTAAAGTGTGTTTTTGCGAGGAAGATAAAGTCTTTAACCGGATAGTTGAGAATAGTGATATTGGCAGTATTTTCTGATTAATGTTTCTACCGGACAGTACTTCTAATTGCATTAATTTGTCGCACTATTGGCATTGGTTTATTGAAAAAGCCCTTTTTTGTGCGGTATGATTGAACTTTTTTTTTGTATTTTATCAATCTAGAAACCAGCCATTTATTATCGGAAAAAACATTGATTGTCTTCAAAACTTTTTATTAGAGTAAGATTTCACTTTTCGTTTCGAAAACCTAATAAAACCCCTAATACACTGCCACATCATATGTAACTAATATTAATACTTAACAATGTATTATGTATTTTTAAGTATACCTTCCATTTTTTTGGACTTTGTTAAAATATAAGGCATCATTTCCCCTTTTTTGTTCTGCTGCACAAATTTTATTAAAGGCTGCAACTTTCTCACATAAATCTCAGAAATTGTACATACCTGAACTTGTTATAAATAAATAAAATGGTAATGTGATAAATCTAAAAAAATAAAGAGTTTATACAAGAAGCGATGAAGATTTTGATCTGCAACTTAATCTTCATTCAATTTCGTTTAAAAATGTTCTCCGTTCATCAGTGTAACTTATGGGATTGTGGTGGAAAGTTCTTATATGCGACTGATCGGAGTTGGTCGAAGAACATCAAACACAGCACTGTATGAGGACCGAGACGAAGATACATCGGCCCGATGCCTTTGAAGAACGCCGTTAGCCCTTCTGATTTGAAGATTTTTGATACGCAATCTAAGTAGCCGCTGTACAGGACTCCTTTACCTGATGCTTCAACAGCTGGAAGCGGATTGAAGATGAAATCAATTTATCTCACGATTGAGTAAACGGTGCTTACGCTGATTATACAGCCTGGTCATAATGAGATCAAACGGCGTCATCATGAAGCTGATTGCCGCCCCTCCAACCATGCTGCCCACAAAGGACTTTAGCAGCGGATTATTCGTAATTTGGTAATAATCCAGCCATTGTTTGGTGTATTCGAAGCACAGAATTTGTGAGGATCCGCCAACAAATGCCCGGGGAATTGTGGCTCCAGCTCCCCGAAACAGGCCCTTAATCTGGAAGGATTTCATCACTTTTAGCGCAGGCTTTTGGGGAATTGCCATTTTTTACCCCATTTGCTGTGTAAATATCCTTAAGGGCCTGGACACTACCAGTGAGTCGATGCTGATGCCCGACAGCAATGGAAGCGGCCGCTTGCGATTGCAGCTGGGTTTTCACTAGAAATAAGGGGCTGGCCAGGTAATGCCCCAAAACAGATCCCGCTCCGGTAATTAGCACACTTTTTGAGAACTTCATGTTGCCGTTCTGGTCTCTTAAGTAGCCTGCAGAGTCCGCAAAACCGTACACGCCTGCAATGTAATTGATTATTGAAATAAAGGGAAAATTTTCGCCGAATATTTGCTGTTTTATTAATCCCATTTACAATTAGAAATCAGTTTAGTTTTTGCGGTACTATTCTCAATATTTACTATTTATTTATCGTGAATATGCCAGTCATCTTATCACGCTAACGAATGTTTTTATATTAATCGGCTGAATAATTTCGTCATTCAAATGGCTTGTTGTTCTTACCCAATCTCGAGCCATTCATGACGAGCTGCACCCAAAGGGCGGGCGCTAAACCTTTCTGAAGGGCCAACAGGCCGTCGTTTTTCACTACGACAAATCCAGCGTGGAAAACGTTCTTGTAATGGACCGCATGCTGGCCTTTAGCCTTCAGTTCGCCTTGGAGTTGGAGGCGCGTCTTCAACACCTCCAGAGGGTTGGTGAAGATGCACGCTCCCATTGCGGCCACTCCGCCAAGAGCGAATTCCATCTAGAACAGGTTTTTTGTTATATTTATTGAAAAAATACCCAAATTACCTTAGAGCTGCTTCAATCCGCTTTGCTAAACTGATGGATGGTTTGTAGGGGTTTCCACATCCATTTAAATACGTCTTAGTGAAAAGCTACGAAAACAAACAGTGCATTTGTGGATTTTATCGCGGATGTTGAAACGACTTGATCGCTCTTACTGTAATGAGAATGAATGTGATTAAAGAAACCTTAGACGGGCATGCTTATCAACACCAATAATTGCTCAGATGGAATATACACAGTGTTTAAAAAAACTGTTAGGTCTTCAGCCAACTACGGTCTTATTTTGTTAAGAAAATGGTGTTTTTTGAGAAATTATCACCCTATTTATGAGCAATTTAAACAAACTTATCAGTTGGTAGCAAGAGCGTTTACACAAGATTTACAATCATTGGCAGCATTACCTTATTCAAATTAAAGAAAAAATTATACAAGTTAAATAGGTCGTCGTGTTACGCTGTAGCTAGTCATTGTAATTTTACTTTTGTGCATTTAACACAAAAAATACGCTAGTTGTTCACTTGTAATATTTACATAAACTCGTCCATTCAAATGGACGCAAGAGGAAATCAATAAGAAAAGAAAAGAAGCTGTTTTTTCAGCAAAACTGCTGAAATTGGGGCCCACTTCTAGGTTAATTCGCACAAGGTCGATTTTGTGTTGCTTGCGCGATTATATTATTACGTAATCATACCTTATTTCACTTGTTCATTGCTTTTGCTCCAATTCGACGTAAAATTCAACTAACACATTTAACTTTTGAAGCCTTTTAAGTTAAACTGTATATATTTAAATGCATTTTTAATCTCGTTGAATGGCATCAATTGATAAAGCAGTGATTTACAAATCTGAAGTACCTACTAATTAAGAATAGATAAAGTGATAATTAAGCAAGTTCCTTAGGAAATGAGGCGATTTTCCATACAGTATGAATAAATATTATGCAAGCAAACATTTTACATCGGCGTGGATACACATAAAAAAAACAAATACTCACTTTAAAATTTTATTCCAAAGCTATGTACACATTCAAAACTAAAATTATTCTGGAAGAAGAAGTTTAGTAAATTGGGAAATAACATTAGGATGCATTAAAAAAGTACGCCACTTTTAACGTGTTTTTTGGTCAATATCCACATATCCTAGAAAAAATTACACCATCAGAGTATCTCAATCTGGAAAAATGTATGACAACAAAGAGAACAGTGCATACAGTGCAACACACTATATCTAGCACAAAAGAACCTTTGCGGAACTTGCAAAAAACGACACTATACTTCAGCTCTTCTGGGTATATCTTCTAGAAACAATAAAAAATCGTTTTAGTCATAGGAATCAGTTGGGAATTAAATGTATTCAGCATTGAAAAATAGACAAACTATAAAAATATGCAAAATTCATTTTTGTCTTAAAAAAACGCAAAGTTCAAGACTAAAGTAAAAATGTATGGGTTTTCGCTTCAGCATCAACCCCTTTTGTCACTTTTTGGAACGGAAAAATTGGCACTTTTTTAATAAAAAACCGGCTGTTAGAAGCGCTTTGAAGGTGCTGATATCCCTAAAATACCTTAGATAAAACGGTTTCGGGCGTTGGTAAAAGGCAGCTTCTACGCAGTAGTTTAGCATACATTTCTGTTGCTAAATTGTATTTTTTGCGAAAACTAAAAAAAGCTGCGACCCAAAACAAACATCCGGCTCAATTTTCCTACAATTAAGCCTTTGATTGCCGCTAACATTGTGAGTTAGGCCAGAATCAATATTTAAACAAACGACTGCTAATAAAACTTCAGCAAACCAGCTTGTTCATTGGAAGGCCCATCGTAAAACCGACTTTAGAATGGATTTGATAAATACGCAATTAAAATTATTCTTACTCTCTTTCTCGCGTTCTTCCGCGCGGGCTTTCATCCTGGTGATAAAGGCGGCACCTTTGTTTTTCCTAAAGTTCTCATAGGGATCGTTCAAGTTGCACCCTACCCCTTTAAACTGATCCTGCCGATCCCGCACATCACCCCCGGATATCGGAGCGTCGATGCCTTGCTCGTTCGCCCCCAGCCCTTTTCCGCCCCATCCCATTTTGCGCAGCATTTCGTGGCCTTTATTGGAGGGATCCAGTTCTTGAGCCTCAGCTCGCAGGTAGGGCATGCTAAAATTTCACATTTCTGGCTTTGCTTTAAGTAGCGAAAAAAACACTTACTTGCCGAACCCTGGGGTTGGAGACATGGACCTTCTCAGTGGGGACTTTGATTTGGATCTCGACCTGGACACACTCCTACGTCGCTTTATCTCTCTGCTTTCCCTCAACTCTCTGCCCCGGCGCTTTCTAGGGCTCCGCGAGCGGCTTCGGGACTTCGATCTGGACCTTGATCGCGATCTTTTCTTCCTGCTACTTCTTCGGTGCGATGAAGGCGGCGGCGTGGGCGATTTGCTGCGGTACCGCCTTTTGGGCGGCGTCTCGTCCTTCTCCGGTTTCACTACTATCGGCGATGGGCTTCGCGACTTTTGTCTGATTCCGGCCTTTATCGCCTCATCTTTTTCTCTTTTGGCGTGATTTTTCGCCTTATAGTATTCGTATAAACCTAATTTTTCCCAGCCTTCACTGTGATTACATAATAATAAATAATATAATTCGGTAAGGTAAAGATAAGTTTTATATTGTTGAGGCGGATTCATCTTTTTACAAACTCCTTTTT